ATTTGTTTTAAGAACATCAAATTTCCGCGGGGCAACTGTCAGCCGATAGTTCCTCGACAGAAACACTATTGTTTAGCTATGACCAACTATCATTCATTTTGAGCTTGTTCAAATTCTTCATGATAGTCGATGATAGTTTCTTACGTTTGACCACGCGTATGATAGTTCATGATAGTTTTTGGTCAGCTGTTTCTCCAAAAATCGGCGAGCTCGTTTAAAATGGCCGCCAAAAGCTCCTCGCGAGGCTCAGCTTCAGCTTCAGAAATTCGTTTTTATACCCAAGATAATAATGAGAAAGAAAATAGTGAAAACCAAGAATCTGGTTTTCAATTTCAACATCCCCCTATCGTTTCTCCTTTTAATCCATTCCCTTGTCCGTCGTCTCTTCCCCATCGCTCTCCAGATTCATCCTCCGTACATTCCTCCAACAAATCGAATACTAGTCAGCAAGCTGCCCCCCTCTTTCGTCGTGATAAATTCATACACAAGTTTGTTTGTCTCAGGCGAAGCCACGTTAGTGTTCACATTTTACGCGGAAAGAGCCTGTAACTAGCTGCTCGCGTGATTTTGCTCGCGCGACTGCCAGTGAACTATCATCAACGTTTTTGGCGATTTGACCATGCGAATGATAGTTGATGATAGTTTGAAGACAATCAACTATCATCGACCATCATGCGCCGTTTGACCAAGGCTTTATCCCATTCAGAACCTCAAACTTTCCTACAAAGGGCCATCTTAACTCTTGCCCAGTTCTCTCACATTTACGCGGAAGCCACAAAACCTTCAGAAGACTTTTTAAAGTTGGTTACAAGTTCAGGAAATGACACAAAAGTACGATTATATAATTTTTAATAGCAAATTTGCATTATAAACTCATGCTATCATTCAAACCCAGTTACTTCTGAACACCAACACGAAGGAATATAAATGTTTTCTTTTAAACGAGATGACACTTGAAATGCATGGCGGTTACACATTAACACTAATTCGACTATGAAATCGAAAATAAACTCAGAATGCCTAGCTATTGTTCCAACTACATTATGGAACACTTTCCACCTCGTCCACATCCTATGCATTTTACAGTTTTTTCGTCGAGTTCGTCAACACTCCGCGTAATTTCTCGCCTTTCGTTCTTCAAGCTCTGTTCCAGCCTCAAATCAACGTCTTCAAACTCTGCTTCCCCCAAGCTAATGGCTTCTTCAACCGGCGATTCTCCCTGTTTTAATGTGTACGTTTCTTCCACAATTTTATTTTCGAACACAAGCGCGGAAAGTTCGGGTTTGAACGAAGATTTTACGACATCATCATGAACACTATCTCGTGAGTTGACACTCTCATTCGATTTCCGAGTGGCATAGAAATCTTTTCCGAGCGATGATTCAATCACGAACTTCGGCTTGTCGTTCTTTGATTTCGATTTCGTCGATTTCGAAGCTTCTTTAGGTTTCTTCTCGCTTTCAAATGGAGCTGTTCCGAATTTGTCTTTGTTGATGTCCTTTTTGGATGGCTCTTTGATGTTTTCCGCTTCGTGTGGTTTTTCAGCTTCTTTTTCAATTTCCTTCTCAGGTTCTGAAGCAAATCCAGGTTCTTCTGAATCAGGACTTATAACTTTCCGTTGTCGACTACGCGACCGCCTGGCATGCTGGGCGTACTCACCCAATGTGTCAATCGCAGGTCCTTCGTTCTTTGTTCCCTCTTTCTCAGCTCTTTCGTCAACTTGTCTTTCAACAGCTTTTTCAGTTGGGATTAAAATTTTCAAATCTGGTGTCTTGCTCTTGTTTTCTAATGTGACGGCTTCCTTTTCCTAGACTTTAGTTGCTTCTTCTCTGACATCTGTGCCATTTTGAACAACATTTTTTCCAGCTATTAAATCTTTGACACCCACTTCGGCTTTCCCCACATCCACATCTTCTTTCGTTGACGGTTTTTCCGCGATTTTCGACTCCTTTGGTGGCTCATTTACGGTACTGGCTGGTTTAAGAACAATGTCATCGATGTTAACCTTCTCTTTAAAGTTTTTGTTGTCGTCCCTCACAGAGAAAACGTAACTATCATCCAGTTCTAGTTGGTTCTCTGTATTGATGTCGGGAGCATAGCTTTTCAACACTTCACTGATTAAGTCCTCTGCCTCTTTTGAATCCAGCATCTGCAGGTCCGAATCATGCGATATCTCTTCGAGTTCCTCGATTTCTTTCTCTTGTTTCAAGAATTCCTCGTCCTCTTCCAAATCCGCAGCCGGTACAACCACTTCAATGGGCTCATCGCGAAATATTTGTTCCATTTTTCTCGCCTCGGAGAAAATGTACTTATCCAGGGGCGATTCTGAAGAGAAATTTTCTCGTATTGGAGTACTGGGAGGGGTAGCAGGCTCCTTGTCGAAAGAAGGCTGCTTACCACCAAAAGTTGGTATTCCTGTTCTGGGCAACTCTCCGTTGGGTGAGTTCGCCGGGGACTTTGGCGTGGCTGCATGCTTCGGGAACGAAGGAGTTTTACTCTTAGTTTCCACGGGTGAGGATGCCACTGCAGGTATACCCGTCGGCACGGTCTCTTTCTCTGCGCTTGAGGTTTTACGCGTTAATTTGTCGCCAGCATAACCTGGAATCTTGCTCGACGGTGTCAATTCGCCAGGCTTCGGAATCCCACTTGCCTTCGATGCGATTGGCAGGGAACTTGGTGGAGACTTTGCCGCGGTTTTAGGTTCTGGAATCCTGGACCCTCCAGCTGTAGGGACCTTTGACTCAAGGGTCGCGTTGGACAATGTAGAAGGAAGTGTTGGAGTGCGTGACGAGTTCCCAGGGGGTCCATCTGGTTCCGTAGCTTTGGACCCTCCCACAGTGGAAAGCTTTGATTGCGGTGTTTTAGTTCCAGAGGATGCTGACGGCGATTTAGCAAAGGATGGAATGCGGCTGACCCCCATGGGGATGCCGCTGCCCTGCGAGGAGGAAGATGCATTGGGCATCTTACTTTGAGAACCAGTAGCAGGAGAATGTGCCTCTCCTCCGTTTTGCGACGCCTGCCCTTCATTCTGACTGTCTTTGCGAGTCACGGAAGGTATTCTAGACTTGGGAATACTAGACTTGGAGAAAGACGGAATTTTGCTGACTTGCTTGGCAGGCTCAGGACCATTTGGTATACTGGTAGGATCTTTATTTTCCTTTGCTGAATCAGGTTTATTGTGTGAGGATGCTATGGATGGAGAGATTTTGCTTCCTGCCTTGTCTTTCTGCAAAGCGCTCTCCTTACGTCCTGTTGTGGGTATCTGGGATTTATTTGAGGACGGAATTTTACTCTTCGGAGGAGTGCGTTCCTCAGCGCCATTTTTCTTCGTCATTGAAGGTATGCGAGAAATGTGCGAGTCTGTTTTTTCAGCGCTTCCTGGCGACCGAACAAGCGATGGAATCTTCGACATCTCACTGCTGCTTGCCGAGCGGGAGCGACCACTCTCTATTGAACTCTTAGAAGGAGACTTATTCAACGAGCTTGAAGTTAAACTTCGATTACTAGACGTTTTGCATATATTGCCTCCTGTATCCTCGTGAGTTACAGTTGGCGAGTTAGTTCTCAATTGACCGCGCGGCCGAACAATGTCACTTTTTTCTCTCCTTACACTCGGCGATGCACGATTTTTAGTGACGTCACTGCGTTCACGTTGAAGTCCAGCTGGTGATTGTGAACGCGGGCTCGACGCAATCCCGTTTTCCCGCTTTAGACAAGAGGATGAATTTGATCGCGCGCTAATCGGGAGAGAATTGTTATTATTAGCTGATAATTGGGTTCGACGTGGTCTAACAATATCGCTTTTCTCACGACGAAGGCTACCGTTTTTCAAAGAGTCTTGAGCTGTCTGAGGAGACCTGGAGGGTGGTCCTGGTTTTTTAGGGGCAGAAAAACTGGCGCTGCGTCTCGGCCGTGCACCCTGCTTATCTTGGGCGTTGTCCTGTTTAAAACCGCCCTGGTTTGACTTGGCGACCGGTTTTACAATGCGTGGTTTATTTGTTGCTTGGCAACCGTTGTTGACTTGTATAAAAAGCGGATAGCGGCTTGAAAAATCGTTCGGATCGTGGGAATGCTCGGGTAATGAGCACACACTATCAGCTGTAGTTTCAACACAATCACTACCAGATCCGCTGCTTAATTTGGACTCTGATCTATTTAACGTTGTTCCGTTACAGTTCACTCCGTTAAGACGATTTTCACTTTCGCTCTCGCTGCGTTTTCTCTGAGTCTGACTGAAGTCCCCTGACCTACGCCTGAGATAAGGTCTTTTTCTGAGCGCTACATCACTATTGCTTCTTCTGACTTTCTTTGGTTCTGGAACTCTTTTGAGCGGGGCTGGTCTAAATTGAATCTGGGGTACAGGTGATATTCCAAAGCTGGGGCTGGCACCAAAGATGGCGGACGCGTTCCGTGCTCTGCTCGATGGCTCAGGGAGACTGAGAAAACATACAAAGGCAATTAATTTTGTTGGCTGGCAAGAAATAATCATGGACGTTTGCAAGTCGTTCACTTAAAGGATCAGTTAAGCCTCTTTCATTAAATTCCTTTGTTGTTTTATTTCTTTATTTTATCCCAAGCAGTTATGAGTTTATAGATTTCTGATCCTTTGTCATAACAGCTGTTTTCTGATGCTAATAATGGCTTGGAATAAATCTCAGCCAAACAAACAATTTTGCTCCCGAACCTAAACATAGCACGCAAGTTCATTAAAAAATATCACTAAACTAACAATAACACTGAGATAAATATCTCCGATTTTGGGGATAAAAAAAGAAAACTCAGAGTATATACATCATTATATCGTTCAAGTAAAAGGAGACTCCAAATATAGTCTCTGAAATACAACCACACAGAGGTACAAAGCTTTTCTGTTGATTTTCCAAAGAACTGGAATAAATGCACGCGAAGGGTTTATTTGTTTTGTGCATCGGTGGTTTTCCCTTACAAACAATTATTGTAAAGTTCTGTTGTGTGTTTAGCTATGAATTATGCAAAGAAACAAGAGAACTGGCAAAAATTAGGCGATCAACAATCTAAAAGCGCTCTCAAGCTGTTATGCTTGCTTTAAAAACGTGCCAATCTCATCTGACAACATTTCTTGAAAATTACGTGAAAAGACCATACCAGCGTTTAATCACTGAAAGAGTTTAATTCACTTGAGTAAACTACTGCTTCGTTAAGAAGGCGTAACTTCGATAAAAGTTTTGGAAATAACTCGAAAAAAGTTTTTAAAGAATATCGCTAACAGGCGCTCCTAGAGGGCTGGATCTTAATTGATTTGCGGCAATATACCAGAATTGAAACACGTGGAAAAATCCCATAATTACGTTGACAATGGAAGCATGTTGAGCTGGGTAAAAAACAAGAACAATATCCAACAGTGAACAAAGAACGAAGCGGTCTGTATTGGAAGCCACGACAATGATCTAATGATAACTTTGATCGATGATTCTAAAGTAACCTAACAAAATACTAATCCCTGAAATCTATGAAAGAAATTGCATTTGTACATTTGCATAAGCGTGCTGTTTTCTTTGGCGCTGAAACAAAAGCGTTGGTGGTTAAAATCGTTCCGCCTTCAGTCAAACACACGCTTTCTTACTAGAATTTACACAAACTCGCCGACAAAGTCAAAACTCATTTAAGTTGCGTAATAACTGCTTCGTATAAATCTAGAACGAACTTTGCACTAGTTATAAAATTCGTCGAATATTATAATTACAATATCTACGGTAAGCTTGATAAATCAATCGCTTTGTTTTTTTTTATATCAAGAAAACCATAACTTTGGTAAACAAAGTTAACAATTGCTACGAAGAAAAGCTTTTGCATTAAAATTACTTCATCTATTGTCGATGATGAGCTACGATCTTGCTTTCAGCCTGTCTTTTAAATTTATCATGCATCAAAATTAAAATAAAATAAACCATGTTGGTTATATTGATAACGTCTGAAACGCGCCCTAGAAAAGTGGAGCAACTAATTTGTAATGAAAAGGGATAACTCTATTAATCTTCAGCATATTCCATTACCAGCAAAAATTAACTTATAACGTTGATTGAAATTTTCTCTATTCATTGAGAGAGGTGAATAATGTAAACAGTTTAAACCGCATAATAAATCTGTCTTCGTGCCCCCGTAACTTAGCCCCACAATACGATTTTAAACACTATGGTAATTCTTATATTGTAGGGATGGAAACCTTTTTGGCTGTTATCAACGCCTTTAAAATTTATTTAAAAATTCAATCCATTTAAAGCACAAGAACTTTGGCGCATTGATTTCGCCAGCCCAACGGCCTTCTCTCTCAGTATGAAATATAATGTTCTCGCGTTCTAATCTGGAAGAAACAGTGAAACCTTAAGGGAGTTAGGTCAAGAATATCTCTTGTTTTGGAAACAAACACATCTTGTAGAGATACCCTAGCAGTGTTTAAACGCACGAGGATTCCAAGAATAATAACTTAAAAATTGACAGAATTCAGGGCATAGAAGACAGCTGCCGATAAAAAGGCTTTCAAATTCAAAACAAAATTGAAACATCAGCTTCGTCAGTTTCCGTAAATTTTGAAAACCTCTTCTGTCGCCAGTCAAAAATATCAAGTACTATTATTTCTGAATCTCGACTTTTCTTCGAGTCGATTTGACGAAACCTTTATAAAACTATACATAAAATAGAGAGCTATGTAAAGAAATTATCAAAACTGTACATTTTCAAACCGGATATGTGTAAGTCAAACACGCTTCAAAATTCGCCAGCCTGTCGAAATTTCTTTCCAAATATAAACTCTCAAACAAAATTGAAGTTTCTTATTTAACGATCAGAACTGTCAATGATGACCAAAATCTCCCCTCTCGCTCGTGATAATCAGAAGCGCTGAATGTTTTATCATCTGATACTTACGGCTGCGCCAATTTTTCCCAGAAGGACGCCATTTCTCCATGCGACTGTAATTCGCTCGCCCGAGATCGTTCGTACTTTTGACAGGTAAATGACACTCCAGAGCGCCGATCATCGAATATTCTTGCCGTTCATTGCATTCGAAACAACGTTTGTGCCATCACGGACGTACTTTTTTAATTCGTGATATTAAAAGCAAGTAGAGCGGTGGTGACATTCCCTCATTCTGACCATTCTGACGTTTCTCCAATAAATACACATACAACCTCAACCACAATTCAGCGGTCATAGACAAGTTATATAGTATTGGCTTCGAAAAATTTCAGGGCTGCGAAAAAGTCATTTGAATTTCCTTCAAAAATCCACCCTTGCGATTGTCTGGCGGTTTTTTCTAAATATATACAGATGACTGAATCAAAACTGACAAACTGAAGACTTATTTACATTTGTCGATGATTTGACTTGCTGTAAGTACGCCTGGCAACAGAGCCTATCAAAACCCAACAGAAGACAATACTCATATTTTTTGACCATTTGGGTGCGACCGACCATGTGATGCATAATTTATGAGCGCCCAAAATAATAACAGTAATAATTACTGGGTCGCGACGACTGCGAAATTTTCTGAACTAATCATTCGGAAGGGAGGCAGAAAATTTTGGTGTGAGCGTCTAATCGCTATAACAAATTAAATACTGGGTGTTCTCTGCGAAAGATGTCTTACTAGACAGTTTTAGAGTAGGCTTTAATACAAATATCCGTCTGATTGTAATTTTGACAGGTGATGGATTTCACCGATGTTTGATAGAGGGCATATGCTTAAGCTAAAAGTAACATTTTTCACCAGCTCTCAAAAAATGTTTCCACAGTACTTATTTATATAAGAAATTTCGCTTTCGCCTGTGAGTGTATTGGTTTGATTTCACATTAAAGGGATGTCGGCTATTCAAAAAATTTTCACCCACCTAACACAATTTGCATAGGGCATAGAGACATTTGTTACAAACGATTCTACGCAGTTATCCATACATGTGAAAAGGGGAAAAGGATAAGAGATAATCTACGTTTCTTTCTGCCTTGAGGCGGAAAGCGGAAAGTTTCGAAAGCACATTTCGTAACGTTTTATTCGGAACGCCTCCCAGAAATCGCAAATTTCGTCTCGTTATTTTCACTCAACCCCATCTGTAGATCCTTTGTAAACGCACTGACAATGTTTACAAGCATGTGCGTCGAACTCATCTTCGCATCAATGTAAACACAAATTCGATAGCAATTTCCACTCTTTCGATTGCACTTTACAAACGTTTCACAATCTCAAATAATCAGATCTCCCAAACAAAAGAAAAGATTTCACATACGTCACAGAAGCATTCTATCCTAGTCGATTAATGTACCAGCTACATTTCAAGAACTGTTCGAATAACAAACCAAGCTACATTTCCGTTACAAAGACTCACAATAAAATTTGGACGCACTCGAAATCGTTCAACTTGCCAGCGTTTAAGTGCGAGTTAGATGTCATCTGCACACACAGAAAAGGCGTTTAAATCGATTCTACTTAAATTCAAACTATCTAGACGCAAAGAAAACAGAAGTCTGAATGAAGTTTAGAAGTTTACACGCGCCCAAACATTTGGTGTTAAACGAAAGCGGGTGTCACTTACCAAAGGCTTATTGTGGAAGTGATGAACGGTATCCCACGATTTCACACAAAAATTTCGCAGCCGATCTCCGTGACTCAGATCAGGTCGTGAATAACAGCGGGTTCATTGAAAAATTTTGCTGAATACATGCTGACAAAGAGACGGGTTATGCAAATGAGAGGGTTCCGCGACAAATTTTACTTCCACTTTGGCACAGCGGAAGCACCATCACCTAAACGCTGTAAAGCAGCCAATCAGGGATCAGCTTTTCCTGAAGCTGCCTCCCGTCATACGAGTTTCTGTTTGTTATTGTTTGAAGTACAGGAAGTTTGCAATTTAAAAGCTTTTCACGATCAAGCGCATTGTATTCAAGGTACAATATCGCCATTACACAATCTGTTTCATAAAGTTAGTCGCACTTTTTCGCGTGACGTAAGCTACTAATTTACAAAGCATCGTAATAGTGTGAAATTTCTTGCGTTTCCTACACGACGTAGGTATGAGAAACTCTATCCCTGCTTGCCATCCTTCTAAATTTTTTCTCATCCCACTTGAGACTCGAAGCCAACACAGCGGTCTGATAACATCTTCAAAATACTGATATTCTCTACTCCAAACAGACCTTTGACCTGCGTGTCCACGATACAACAGCCTTCCACAATGAGAATCAGTGGCGCGCGGAACGGGTGCACAGTATAATGATAACGAAGTTTCCATTTCATTTCAGAATAAAAAATCATTTGCAAATTCTAACAGCGCCAAATTTACTGGGAGACCATTTGAACTGGGTACAATCGAAAACAAATATCTTCATAAATGGAGTATACCTTTTACTACAGTTTCAAGTTATTATTCAGGTTGATTGTGCTCCGAGTCAGTGTTTAAAATTGATA